TTCAATTAACGCTTGTTATTATGAATACATGCAGGTTTGGGGTCTAAAACAGGTTATCGTGGTATTTAAATCCCTCCAGCTCTAACACTCAAGATCCTGAGTGACTGTGACATTTGCAAGCTCTTCCTATTTTGTTTGTGTGACTTGCTCAGCAAAGAGCGGCTTTGCTGTGGGTAAGAGAACGATTTCTCTGGACACTGTCAGCAGCACGCTTTCCCTGATGCAGAGCTACATTTCATCATCTGTTGTGATGCCATCCAAAAGTTCCCTAAATAGTAACTAAAAAAGGTGACCTCTCTCCCCAGCTTTTATAACATTAGGCGGATATGCTTTCGCTTGGTTACTTAGGATCAGCGTGCTGTATCTCATACTCCAGTGCGTCTGGCCTGGCCTGGCCTGGCCTGGCCCACGGTTTGAAAACCTCTGACAAGGTAGAAACCAGGTCTGAAGCTTTCTTCAACCAATAGGATCGGTTACAATTTCTGTGGAGACTGTTAGGAGCCAATAATAAGTCTTAACGTTCCTGCTTCCAAAAGTCAAGTAATTTTCCTTTGACAGTTTAGGAAGGGTTGAATCACGTGGAAATACGGTGGGAACTATATTTTTTAACTTACACACAGTTTGATTTTCTTCCTCGTATTTTGTGGGGGTGCAGAACCATTCTAGAGTGCCCTCTGGGGAGAGAGAGAATCTTTGGGCATACCTCTTTGGCCTGGCTGGGGGGTCCTGACCTCCTCAGGACGTTTGTGGTTGGAGAATCGAGTGCACGTGATATTTTTTTTCTAAGCGAGTTCACAATAATTGAAGTTCTCTATAAAGAATACATTACTACAGATTCTCAAGTTTTGAGATTTAGGTTGAATTTCATGTAGTAGGAAGGAGTAATGGCTGTATGTTTATAGCATGTTTTAACTCTAACTTATACCTGGGATTATACTCCCTCTAACATGGGAGAACAGAGGATTTTAACACCAAGACTTAACTATAGATGGAGGAATATCCTGGCTAAATTCTGGCAACCTTGTCACTTAAATCCAGACTGGCCAATGGTCTGCTTAGGTGAAGGTCTTTATCTACTTACATGCCAGTTTTCCAGGAGATTAACAGAGATCTACTCTGGGATACTTGCTAGTTCTTAAATTTACTTCTTTGCTTTAAAAGCTAAATAGTTTCAGTTTTTTGTTTTTAAGCACCCTTTATATACCAGGAGAATCTAACAATCATTCGCTGAGCTAGAACTCTTTGGGAGGCAGAATTATTTTCCTGAAGATTGTGCATTGTTTAAAATGGTAGATCCAGTGTGAGATCTTAGTTCATTCTTTGGTTTTATTTACATATTAATTGTGGACCTTTAGCATATCACCAGGTGCCTTTGCTGGAGGGATTACATGGGGAATGGAAATAGATCCCCTCTCCTTCTGGCGTTACAGTTTTTGAATTCCACAAAGATAAATATCCAAAAATGTAGCCAGTTTAGTGAACTGTATTCAGAAATAATGCTGTTTTCCATTACAAACCGGAAGTTAAAGTATATGGACTCATTCCAGTGTTTAAATATGTGCTCAGTTAAGTATTCCTCAGAACAACTATAAGATATTATGCAAAAACTACAATTCAGAGTAATGCAAAGCTGTAAAATGGCACTGATGGAGCCATTGTATTTATTAACTAAAAGGTATTGTCGATTTAAAATAGCACAACTTGGGGTGCCCGGTGCGGGGGGGCGGGGAGCTCAGTTGGTTAAGCATCTGACTTCAGCTCAGGTCGTGATCTCACGGTTTGTGAGTTCAAGCCCCGCATTGGGCTCTGTGCTGATAGCTCAGAGCCTGGAGCCTGCTTCAGATTCTGTGTCTCCCTCTTTCTCTCTGCCCCTCCCTTCTTGTGCTCTGTCTCTCAAAAATAAATAAACATTAAAAAAAAAAAAACAACTAAAACCACATCTTGAGGAGTTACTATCTATTATCTTGATCATTTCCAGTCCAACTCACCAGTTGTGTACTGTGCGACGTAGAGGGAGTGGGCATTTTTCTAGAGGAGGGGGATGCCCAACGTGGCAGACCAAGCCCGTCAGTGTCTCCCAGCCAGGGGGAGAGAAGGATAGATGTAATTACCAGGTGTGAGTGGAACCAGCATAAGGGCTGTGAGGATGATGTGAGCATGTGCAGAGAGAGTGCTTACGACTCTGTGCTACAAGTACAGTTAGAAGATTTATATCCCGTTCTGAATTGACATTTATGCCTAGAAGATATTTCTACATTTCTGCCAGCAGATGAGCATGCTACTTTAGGCACTTGGCTTTGTTTATGGAGATGTTGACTTGAATCGGGGGTGAGCAACCCAGATTAAAAGGTCTCAAAGCCCTCAAAGGGGCTGGATGCTGGGTGGGCAGAGAACATAGCCTGGGGCCCCTGGAACTGCCTGTGGGCCAGCAGAGCAATGCTTCCCTTGGCGTTCCTTTCCCCTCCCCTCCTGCTCAATGTAGCTTTCTCCCCCGATGATTGTAAAGTAGCTTTTCTAGGTGAAGCACAGAGCTCTGTCAGCGTACCGGCTTATTGTTGGGGAAATCATGAGTACGGAGAAAATTCTGTTTCACATCCGAGTGACTTCTGTTTTTGATATTGTAAACCCTCTGCTCTCTGGTCTGGGCTTACTTTCAATAGCATCTTCGTAGACTGGTTTGATATGCTGAGTTTCCTAAGCAGAGATTCTTTAAGAGACTCCTAAGCATTCATTATTATTAGAAAGTAGGAGCAGAGGAGCCAGTGTCCTATCAAAATCGACCATGTGCAATACAAAACAACTTTCATGTGGGGGTGTCTGGGTGGCTCAGTCGGTGAAGCATCTAACTTCAGCTCAGGTCATGATCTCACACCTCGTGAGTTCAAGTCCTGCGTCGGGCTCTGTGCTGACAGCTCAGAACCTGGAGCCTCTTCAGATTCTGTGTCTCCCCCTCTCTCTGCCCCTCCCCTGCTCACTCGCGCGCACTCTCCCTCTCTCTCTCAAAA